AAAGAAAAAAAATTTTAAAAACTTAGGGGTGAAAAAAAAAAAAAAAAAAAAGTCAGACAATAATAATTTGAAAAATATAAAATTTTAATAAAGGCTACATCTCTTAATTACAATAATTATTGTACCAAGTAATTTTTTTTTTAAATGAAACTCTTTATAATGCATAATTTACAGTATAAGTAGAACAAAATGCCATGGCAAAAGTCATGAGTACAGGACTTGTAATAAAAGGCATAAAATATATTTATACATAAACCCCTTAAACAAACAAGGGAAAGCTTGAACCCTGAATATAGGGCGACGCATGGTCTGGTAACACCATGCAGGCACAGGTACTGTACTGATTAAATTTTAAAAACACTAGAGATAGTGTATTAATATTTTCACCATACATTTTCTACAATATATACAGACTTACACAAAGTAGCAATGGCAAACAGAATGCACAGATTAACTTAATCAACACAAAACCCAACTGTAGAAATGCAAGGTCTTTCTGGGGAAGGGAAGGGGAGGGGGGGGTTGCTCCATCCCAACACCCACACACACGCACAGGCACAGGCGAAGCTCTGCCGGGGGTCGCAGGAGCCTTCGCCCACGTCTCCCGCGGGTGTTGTGAAGGTAAGGCCAAAAAATAAAAAATAAAAAATAAAAAAAACAACCACAACCCAACCAAAACCCACCACACAACGAATCACGCGCGCCACACCGATCTGAAAATACACCCCATGGTAGTTACACGTCACCGAAACACAGGTTGTGCTAACGCTGAAGCAGAACGGCGAAACAAAAATCAGCCAGCTATGTGGGATACATACCGGGTTATTTAACCTGGCTTTTGCAACGTGTCCTTTTGGTGTGCTAAGGAGGGAAATGGGAACGGGATGGCTTCTTCTACAGCTCTCCCAGGCTCAGGGTTTTGCTCTGCCTTGCCTCGACCGAGAGAGGCACTGGACACCCCACGGTACCCTCTCCGCCGGCAGCGGCAAAGCAAAAACCTCACACCGCAGAAATCCATGGACAAAGTAACAAGTTGCTGTTGTTATATTGCATCTAACGTATTTAACGCTTAAGACCTTTATTTCAAATTAGAGCAGCATAGATTAAAATGCACCGGTCTCTAAGTGAATGGTAGGACAATATTTTTATTTCGGCTTTTTTTAATTATTATTATTTCTTTAGAAAAGTTTTGTCTTCACTCGGAGAAATACTGGGCACAATGTCACTCCTTCCCTCCTCCCCCTTCAAAAAAAAAAAAAAAAAAAATCACGAATCCACTCATAGCCAAACTCCTAAATTTTAGATAGTGGGAACAATATAAAAAAATAAAATAATCCTTCCTCCCATCACCCCACTTCCCAGCCCCTCTCTTCTCCATTGTTAAAGCAGCATATCCAAAAACTGGACTTAAGGGAAAACAGACTGTTCAATAAATATCAATAAGGATTACTGTTAAGGTAAGCTATACACAGTTTCTCTTAGTCCATAGATTTCAGATCCCCAGGAAATCATATATTATGTATGGAAGTCTCTCAAACACGGTCTGCATCTCCAATAGCCAACAGTGGTCATGTTTTTAATAAATAGTTCAGGGTTTTTATCATCTCAGTACCCAACTCATGAATAATAAATGCCATTTTTTTCCTCTAAGGCTAATTCAGCAAAGTCTTCATAGACTTTTTTTCTTCATTGGTTCAAAACTTTCCTTCAGAGTTTGTTTTTTTTTTTCCTGGTCATCACTACTGTTGTGTGTCCAAAGACTTTTCTAGCTTAACTTTTCTTAAGAAGCACAGATGCCATCAATCGATCCTTTCTACTTTCCCAAGAATCCTTCCTTCGTACATAGGCAGGATGGTTTCATCTTCCCAAATCTCTTCAAACACCGCACCGCAGTCAAACTCGTCGCTTGCTTTTTTGAAGTAGTATCTGTGGCAAGGAGAATTAAAACACAGTTAAAAATCAAAAGGTAAAGCCAAGGATGCTTTGGCACTTCTTTCAACCACAACATTTCCAATCTCTCCCTCCTAGGATGCTCCTCCAGCGCCCAGCGTGGCCCGGAAAACCTCAGGGCTGCTCAGGTCCAGCAACATGAAAGCATCCCCGGGGCTGCGGGGACGGCGATGGGACAGAGGGAGCAGGGCTGTGCACACTCCTTTGCGGTGAAAACACGCTCTACAGTGAGTGAATTATACGCGTTGGCAGTGGATATCCTCAGCCGTAAAGAAAATTAGAAAGCGCGGTGATTTCTGGTCAAATATCTCATTTAAAAAAATAAATAAATAGAATTTCAAAGCAAAGCATTCTTAAGGTTCCCCTCTCTCCCCACCTTCTTTCTTTCATGTGTTTTCTTGTTTCAAGGCTGAAGCCCAACATTAAAATTAGCAACTGTTATTAAAAGGAGAGGCTTTTTAGGCATACGGATGGATTAAAAGAAAACCATCCCGGCTTCCTGCAACGCAAGAGCCGAAACTCTGCCATACTCCTCCTGAAAAAAACCCAACCCGGGAGCCCCACATTCGAAACACCCGAACGCCTGATTCACATATCCATTTTAAGGGACAGAAACTCCCGTCTCTGCTCCCCAGCAGTCGGGAGGCGCAGAGCAGCCCTGGTCCATCCTGCGGGACGTGACACGGGGAGGTCACCGGCAGCGTCCCGCGTTCCTGCTCTTTGGCTCCGGCTCCTCAGATCACGGAGCCAACGCTCCCCGGGACAAAACGCACCCCCACCCCTCCCGTGTCAAACAGCAAGGACCCCTCTATTATCCTGAATTAGACCGTTCAGCTTCTTGATTAAAGGTTCCTTTTATCCCGTTTGGAGCTTTCTTCCTTCTAAAGCTGCTTAATTGCATATGCACAAATGAAGGGCTTCCATTCAGAGGGGTAGCATTTAGGGAGCCTGTCCGTCTGCCGCCGCACACCTCCTCGGACATGCCCGCTCCCTCGGAAAAGTGCTTTGCCATCTGATCGCCAGGGATGGAAAAAACCTCCATCAGATGGATTACAAAGCAAAACACAAAATAAAATAAAAAAAAAAAAAACAACTAACCCTTCCCCTGTAGTTTCCAGACAACTGGGGTTGGCACATGTTTGTTAGGGGAAAGGGGCTTGCAATTATTTTTTTAGGATGGGAAAGGAGATCAAAGTAAGCTCACTTTTACTATTAAAACTGAAAGAGCCACGGCAGGGTCTTATAATTTGTTTGGGTTTTTTTTCAGTGACTGTTCTATTAGACGTTTTTAAAATACTCAATAACAACGGCTTGCAAATCTGTTTATTTTTAGGGTACGTTAAAATTATTTTGGTAGGGGGATAAAAGCTGCCTTTTTAGTCAAAGAGATGAAACCATCTCCATTCAGTCAAGGTACGATTAGGATTTATTTTTGTAAAGTCATTCCAAGCTGAATTGACACATGTTGCGTCTTTCATGGCTCAGCAAGGAAAAACATCTTACTTAAGTCCTTCAGAGCCTGCGCTCATTGAAGTCAACGGCCCAACTCCCACCAACTTTCACGCTGCAGGTCAAGGCCACAATTCCCCAGGCCAGCAGCCTTGAAACAAAACCAAAAAAACCCAAGGAAAGTTTGAATGAATTACAAAGAACTTTCTCTTCCCTTTCCCCTTCTCCGCCCCTCTCCAGAT